CTGTTAGCAGTATAATTCTGTTAGCAGTGTGGTTCTGTTAGCAGTGTGGTCCTGTTAGCAGTATAATTCTGTTAGCAGCATGGTCCTATTAGCAGAGTGGTTCTGTTAGCAGTATGGTACTGTTAGCAGTATAATTCTGTTAGCAGTATGGTACTGTTAGCAGTATAATTCTGTTAGCAGTGTGGTTCTGTTAGCAGTGTGGTCCTGTTAGCAGTATGGTCCTGTTAGCAGCTTGATGATAATAACAACCGCGGCAACGGACGATGACTGCCCTCCAGAAACAGGTCCAGCAGACAGAACATCCCAGGTTTCCCAGGAGAACCAAACTGTTCCGGAGAGATCAGTCTGTGCAGGCAGATGAAGGATCGTGGAGACGGTCGCCATGACAGGCCGGAGTCTGAGCCCGAGGCTGGATGGGTGCCGGGAACCGAACCGCGATGGGAAGGCAGCGACACACAAAACTCCAAAAGTGCGTGTCGGTCATACCTGTAGCGTGGGTATACAGCGCAGGCACAAAAAAGTTACAAACACCAGGAACACAAAAAGAGCGAGTCGAAGCGGAGCTCCCGTCAGTGCTGCCATACTGCGGCGCACGTGACGTAGCGTGTACGTAGTCTGCCTTCAAAGTTATTTCTTTCTCCAGGCTTTTTAACTTTTTTTTTTTTTTGACATTGCCAGTTTTTTTTTTAGTTCATTTTTTTAATTTGGTGCTATTAACCACACCCTCAGCATATCTTAGCATCACCTGCATGTCTTAAAAACTAGTAGGAACAAGTTGGGAACAAAAACAATCCACAGCAGATATGATTGAAATGGGGGGGCGGTTCCAGCTGACTGATGCATCGTGCTTTAGTTTATCATTAGTCAAGTCTTCAGCTAGCAGCTCTGTGGGACTCAGCTTTTCAATCTATATTATGTGTTTTGCGTATTCATCTAAAGAAATGTGAACAAGTTTTGTTTTGGGGACGAACTGTTAATAACCAAGTATTCAGCTGAAAAGTTGTTGAGTTGTCTGGTAGGGTAGTATCTCTAGTCTGTGACCACTGAAGAATAGTTGTTGGCTTAAAATTGTGAGCACATGAATGTAAGGTACGTATATTGAACCACATCAACATCTAAATGCAGATTAAAAAAAAGCCCTGCTGCTTTTATACAACTAAGGCGTAAGAATAATCTCTTAAATCTCTGTCTGTGTGTAGTCCGGCTCTCTGGCCCCGTCCACCCCTCTGACCGGACGGGTCTACCTGAAGGAGAAGGACCTGCTCGTCACGCCCGTCTCTTCGGCGACGCAGAGTGTCAGCCGGCTGCAGAGCATGGTGACCGGTTTAAGGACCGCCCCCAGTGAACACCTGGTGCACATTTTCAAGTTAGTTCTCTGTTTTATGTTTGTTCTTTTTGTGTTTGTTGAAAGCAGAGAGTCAGGGGAGGGGAGACCACGAAGGTTCAATACATTTAAAATTTTAACTAAAATTCTCAACATTTTAGTCCCTTTAAACTGATTTATTAATTTTTGTAACTACTTATATTACTTTTAAATTAAACCATGTCCACAGACCTGATAAAACAACTAGTTTTACTTTAATGGGTTTGAAGGTTTTATTGGCAGAACGTTGTGTTTTGTGTTGCAGGTCGTGCTCCAGAGATGCCACAGAGTCCATACTGGCTCGAGTCAAGACTCTCGGGCAAACCTTTAAAGATCATTACACCAACGACTCCGAGGACACGCCAGGTTCTCACATAGGTGTGACACCCGCAGAACTGTTTATGGTGCTAACCGAGAGAATGTTTTTAATGTTTTGTCCTAGTCTGAGCAGAATAATCCCTGTGAAGATTAACCACATCTGTTGTGTGGTCTTTCAGACTTCGCAGAGAACCGTTTAAAACTGGCAGAGATCCTGTACTACAAGGTTCTGGAGAACATTCTGGTTCAGGAGACCAAAAGGCTGCAGGGCAGAGACATGAGTGTAAGCAGCAACTTGTTCAAACACAGATGTAATTAAAAGCATCACCTGAGGTGTAAAGCAATGGTTCCCAACACTGGTCCTTGAGGAACACCATTCTGCATGTTTTAATAGTTTCCCTGCTTAGATCGACCTGATTTGAAAGAATGGGTGATTAACGGGCTTCTACAGAACTGGGTGAAGTAATTAAATCACTGAGTCAGGTATGCTGGAGCAGAGAAACAACTCAAGCATGCAGGATGGTGTTCCTCAAGGACCAGTGTTGGGAACCACTGGTGTAAAGTATTTGTTTCCTTGTTACTGGGGTGTGGGGTTTGTTGGACTTTAAGGTGCGATTTCCGAGTTAGCTGATTGTTTTCCGGTATACTTCCACGTACTTATATGTGTATACTTATACGTATTTTAACTGTTTATTTATCTAAATGTTTAGCTAATTCAGGAGATGCTGTGACTTTTGGTTTTTCTCTTTTGTATGTTTATTTACAAATATTTACAACTACTAAACACAGATCTTTTTATATCCTTTAGCTTATTTTAGGTTTAAGTTGGCTTTTTGCTACATTTAGCTTTTAGCAAGGGTTTTGCTCTATTTAACTTTTGGTTAGTGTTTTGCTACTTTCAGCTACCATTTTTATTTTTAGCTATTAGTTAGCATTTAGCAAGCATTTTTCTACTTTTAACTAATGTTTTGCTACTTGTAGCTTTTAGCTTGAGTTTGCTTCTTACAGCGTTCAGTTTGTGTTTTACTTTTTTACCTCTAACAACTCAGTTTCTGCCTCTTCGGCTAACTTCAGCAGTTACTCTGCGCTCACATTTCATTTTTTGCAGAAAATGTATTTTCTCTTGTTTGAATAGTTTGTAAATAAACGTGAGTCACTTTGACGAGAGTGGTGTCGCAGGGAACAAAGTCAGAGTAATTCTTGAATAGAAACAGGTTTGGCTGTTGTTGCAACTTTGTGATATTTTATAAAAAGTGTTGGATTTATTTTAATGAGTCTACACTGAGAAGCAGATATTTTTGTGTTAATGTAAAACTGCTCGTTTGCCGTCAGGTGTTGCTGGAGCAGGACATCTTCCACTGCTCCCTCATGGCGTGTTGTTTGGAGGTGGTGTTGTTCTCGTACAGCTCTCAGAGGACCTTCCCCTGGATCATCAGCATCTTCAAGCTGGCCCCGTTTTACTTCTTTAAGGTAACAAAATCCTGGAGGCGCACAAAGACACATTCTACTCGTTTTGTTTTCCAAAACGTTTAGCAGCAGTTAGAAGTGGAGCTCTTTGCAGACTGGGTTTCAAATCAAGCACCTAATGCTGCTTCTGTTCGCTGTATTGAGAAATGTTTGTCACAGAATGCTTCTTTCAGTAATTTAAATTAAATTTTTTCGGTGCGTGTTTTTGTCCAGGTGATTGAAGTGTTTATTCGTGCTGAGGAGGGTCTGTCCAGAGACATGGTGAAGCACCTGAACTCGATCGAGGAGCAGGTTCTAGAGAGCAGAGCGTGGACTGCAGACTCTGCCCTGTGGAATGCCCTGGAGGCTGCTGGGAACAAAGTTCCCACAGTGGAGGAGGTCTGAATCAGAATCAGAATAAACGTCATAGTTGAACTGAAATACAGTGAGATTATGTTCGTACAGTTGTCCAGAAGATGGGCAGAGTGCACGTTGCTGCTGCTCCTGAGCGCGCGGCCCCTTATCTTTTTTCAGAATACTTTTATGCATTTGACGGCAAGACGTTGAGTTTTATCCACGAGGCACTTCCAGATAGCACCATAGTCCTGATGAGATGTTAGTCAGCTGGTACAGTTCTGATAAGCATTCCCAGAAGTTCCTTAGTTTACACATATTCCAGGAGAAATTTGATAAGTCTGCCTGCTTCGAGTCCAAACGGGAGAGTGTGCAGAACACACACACAATGTTGTTGTGTGTTACTGCGCTTTACATGTTGTCCTCATTGTCTTTAATTATAAACCCCGTTCAGCAACGTGAATAAAACTATTCGTAAACGAGAAGTGTCTTAAGTTTCACAACTCTTTATTTACACATTCGCTTCAGTTCTTTCTGACCCAAAGGAAACAGACTTTTGTTGTGTCGAAGAGTAATTGTGTATCCTCAGAAACGTTTGTCCTAACTTCACATCATGTCTTTCCCAGGTTAATTTTTCCTCCTGTCTTGACTCTGGTTCCGTTAATGGCCCGTCTCACCTGCCTCTCGTGGCTCACTCCCCCATCATCCACCCTCGAATCAGGGAGTTCAGATCGGGCCTGGGAAGCGCACGTAAAGGTGCGTCGTCTTATTTTCTCCTAACGTTTCTGGTCTTCGTGTTTAAGATCGACCTCGGGTCAACCGTTTTGTTTCCTCTGCGCCTCCTCCAGAAGTGCCTCCTTCCCCACTGTCGGTCCACGACAGGTACAGCTCTCCCGCAGCAGGGAGCGCCAAACGCCGCCTCTTCGGTGACGACCCTCCAGCACCCTCTGCAGGCCTGAACCTTCGAGCGAGCCCTCTGCCGTCTCCAGCCAAGAGGCTGACGTTTGGTTCCAGCAGCGTCACCCCGAAGAACATGGGCCCCGGAGCACAGACTACCATCCTGAGTTTCCCTCTGCAAAGTAAAGACTTTGGTACACCTTCACTCCAGCTATAGGAAGCAAAAGGCAGGAAGAAATGTTAAAGGCAGCAAGGAATGTTAAAGGCAGCACTAGTCAAAAGCAGAAAAAGTTTTAAGTAGCAAATAAGTAAAAGTAGCAAAAAGGCATGCTAATAGCTACAAATAAACAGTAGCTAAAAGATAAACGTAGCATAAAGTCAAAAACAGATAAAGATACTGAAGCAGGCCACAGAGAACGTTTGTGAAGGATTTGTAAAGATCTCCGTGAACACGCCTTTGTGGAAAATATTTTTAAATAAAGTTACATATTTTGAAAAGTATCAAATTAACTCAACCCAAATGCCGTAGCACCCATCTCCTGAACGAGCTGAAAGGTTTTGGCTTTAAGAATGGCTAAAATAACACAAAGTAGGCACTTACAGTTTTATTCTGCTCTTAATTTATTTGATGAAACGTCTCCAAGGTCGTGTGATTATTTTCAGGCATGGGTAACGAGCGGACCATTACGCTGATCCCAGTTCAGCCATGTGACCCCTCTGGCATCGTCACGGCTCAGTTTCTGGTGACCACCTCCCCGAGTCGGACCGCCGTTGTTGCCTCCACCTCTGAACCCCAGACAGAAAGCGGGCGACCACGACGCACCGGTTCCCTGGCTCTGTTTTTCAGGAAGGTAGGCGTCGTGGTGACGGTTCACCCACTGATGTTTCTGCCCGCTGACCGGCTCGTGCTCTCTGCAGGTGTATCACCTGGCCAGTGTTCGTCTCAGGGACTTGTGCTTGAAGTTGGACATCTCATCAGAGCTGCGAGGGAAGATCTGGACGTTTTTTGAGCGCGCTCTCATCCACTGCCCTGACCTGATGAACGACCGGCACCTCGACCAGCTGCTGCTGTGCAGCGTTTACATCATATCCAAAGTAAGGAAGTCGACACGAGCGTCACTTTTAATTAAGAACGAATTCAGCTGCTGACAGCTGCTTCTCAGGGAAATAAGAGGCTGTTGTTGGAGCCTTGCAGGGAAACGTGTGCCCGCCGTTTAAACAGCCTCTTTAATTACTAAATCCAGAGTTTGTCCTGGGAGGGAAAAGAGTTTCAGGCGGCTGCTCTCATCAGCAGCTTCGGTACAAAACACTGCCAGCGTGTTAGAAGAAAGAAGTTCACTCAATCAAAATCAATTCTACAGATGAGATGTAAGAAGTGTAAATATGTTTGTGTTTTAAATGTAATAGTTATTGCGTGTTGTCTCCAGTGAGACAAAACACTGTAAAAATAAACATTGATTTGTGATCAGTTTCTTTGTTTGTAAAAGGACTGATCCAGTTTCTATAAACATAACGACTGATATGAACGAATAATTAGTATAAATAACTAAATTGCATTTTTAGGAAAAAGAAGAAACAAAAATGTAAAGTAAATAAAGATGCACAATCTGAAAGTTTGTCCATAGTTTGCATCCCTGACCGTGGGAGTGGACTGAGCGGACTATCTTTGTTCATGTTATGTTCAGTTAATCTGTTTTTACACCAAATGTTACAAGTTTAATCTGTTTTTACA